ATTGCAAAAGATTCCGATCTCTGATTCGGTTAATTTTATATAATAAAGAAATATACAAACTTATATTCCATGGAAAAAAAACAAATATATATTAAAATAATTGAAATAATCTGATACCAATTATTTGAAAAAGAATTTTTATCAATAAATATAATTTCAATACTAATAATTATTCCAATCGAATAAAAATATATCAAAATATAATATCCAATAATATAATGATATTATAATTAGATTCGATTAGCACAAATCTCAATTTGAAAGAAATCGATTAATTATAAATTAGATATATTCGATTTTTTTCGTCACATACGATATATGAATAAGAAAAAAAAAATATATATATAGATAATTATCTAATATATTATTTTAATATCAAAAAAAAAATATTTAATTTATTAATCTTCAATATTTAAATTATATATTAATTTTTATATAAATATAATTATCTAATATATATAAAATCAAACATATCCCATAAAAAAAAAATATTTAATTATTATTCCAAGATCAATTTGGACAATATCATCCTATTTATATTCCAATATATTTTTTAGATTATTTTATTTTTAGATTATTTCAATATATTATATAGAAAAAATGATTATAAATAACTAATTATAAATACATAATATAATATATATATACTAATTTATTTTATTTATAAAAATATATATGAAATTTATATATATTTTTCATTATATTAATATAATATTATAGATTATATATATTAATTATAATATTATTTATAAAATTATTATATTTTAAAAATATAAGAAATAATTAAAACTTAAATTTCTGTGCCTTACACAATTACCAAATAATTCGAAATAATATTTATATATATTATTATTTTATTTATTTATTTTTCTAATTTATTTAATTATATTATTATTAATTAATACATTATAAATAAATATAAATATAATCCCTCTTATTTCTTTAGGATTTTTCCCATTATTAATTTTTCTTTCCAAGAAATAATTCCTAAAATATTCCTTGAATTTTAATTATTAATTAATTTATCTATCTTATTAATAAAATCAAATATTTTCGATTAGTCCATTTTTTTCATATAAATAATGAATAAATTTATTTATTTCCCGTAATTGTCATGGGCAGAACTAGGTCCTTCCTATCGATTAGTTTTTTTTAAAAAAAATATTATTTAATAATAAATATTATTCATAATATTATATAAAATATATAATAAAATTAATATTGATAATAAAATTAATAATAATAAAAATAATATTACTATTCGTATCAGTATTAGAATTAGTAGTGGTGGTAATAGTAATATTAGTAGTGATGGTAGTGGTAATGGTAGTAGTAATAATAATAGTAATAATAATTAGTGGTGGTAGTAGTAGCAGTGCTAGTAGTGGTAGTAATGGTAATAATAATAGTGGTGCTGGTAATAATAATAATTAGAAAGAATATATTTGAAATTCTGCAAAAAAAAAAAATATTAGTTTAATTCAAAACCTCGCTACCGTGGATATGTTAAAAATCCGCACGAGGGGTTAGCGGGGGGGCGAACGTAGGGGC